ACACGCATAGACAGGTGTACACCCTCACAATCCCACATTCCACCATCACGCGTTCCAGACACAAACGTCCTGACGTGGCCTAGCCAGGGGGCGGAGTCTCGGCTCCGCGCGTTTGAGAAATCTTGTCCTGGCCGCGCCACCGTCGGATGCCAGGTGTCAGAGGTCATTGTATCGTTGGCCGTGGCGTTTTTGTTTTTTGGGTTTTTTTTCTTCACCCGGAAGCCACGGCTGCTCGAGTCAGCGCGGCGGTGGGAGGCGGGCCGGCCTCTGGTCGTCTCGTCGGCCCTGTGGAGCCGGACGCTGCCCTCGGCGCGGCGGGGAGGATGGTGTCGAGCGGCCCCGGGCCCGCCGCGAGCCGCCGCGAGTGAGCCCAGCGGGGCCGCGGGCGTCCGTGAAGCAGCGGGGCGGCCGGGCCGGGCGCGGGGAGCCGCTGCCCGCCGGGCGGGGTGAGCCGAGACGGGGGTCGGGGTCAGGGTCGGGCCCGCCGGTTCCTCCAGCGCCCCCAGGACTGCACCCCATCCCGAGGGGCTCCTGGGTCCGCCAGCCTCGCCCTGGCCGCCGCCACCCGGGTTTGTCACCCGCAGCCGCGGGGCCAGGACGGATGGCCGGACTTTCCACGTAGGAATCTCAGGCGCGCTTCATTGGAGGCCGGCACGGGGAGCAGTTTAGTGGTTTTCCACTTTGGACTTAGGGGAGTGCTTGAGATACCGAACCCCTTTTGCAAATCAGACACCTCTCGGAAAGCAGGTGGGAGGGAGAGACTCACCTGAGTGCAGAAACCGGTAATGGACGGGGGTCTTCTGTGCGGCGAGACTGGTGAATGTAGAGAGGGGGTGGGTTTTTATCTTAACGCATGTTTTAATAAACCAAAGGGTGACTTGAAGATCATCTAGGGCCATGTAGTTTTGGTTCTCTCGATGGGCATCATTAGGAATAGGCCCAGGCCTGGAAGGCTGTTTTGAAATATCTGAACGCCTTCACCGTTAGGCATCTGGTGAGGGGGCCTGTGTTGAAGAAAATCTGATGGCTGAGTTTAGAGCTCAATGAACAGCCTCCTTGGGTGACGAGTGGTGAGCGTCTGTGGAGCCTGCTCAGCAAAGGTTGTGGCGCCCCCTGAATTGCTACTCACCTGTCTCAAAGGCGAGCAGCTGTAGGAGGCAGTGGGAAGAACAACTCCGAAGCTGATGATGAGTCTTGATAAATTGGTTTGCTCCGTTAGTACCTTTCATGGTCAGCTTCTGTGTGCCGTTTGTACGAATGCGGTGTTAGTGTTTAACAGGGAAGAATACCTTTTAGCTTCCCCATTTCATCTAAGGATACTGGGAAGAAATAGACCTGTTGTGCACCGAACATTCACTTCCCGACTCAGTGGCATTTAATCTAAGAGTGAGCAGGTCCTGTATTGACTTTGTAGTAAAGGTTCTCTTGCCTGATCAGGTGGACTGGGATCAGGGCTGGCCTCTGGGTACTAAGGTCACCAAGTGCCGATTGTCTTTTTGGGCCCTAGTTGCAGCTGCTCTGCGAAGGACGCGGGATGGGGGGAGAGCGAGAGAGAGAGAGAGCTAAGTCCAAATATAGTTTCTGCCTGTGAGGAACTTACTTAGAGTAATAGGCAATAAAATGTGGCAGGACTGAATTACGACAGGAATATGCCAGCTGTTAGGATTTTGTTATGGTTTGGGCCGGAAGAAGGATTTTGTTATGGTTAGAATCATAAAGGAAGGGGCCTCTAAGGTGGACCCAGAAAGATGAGGGAGATTGGGGCCATTCAGATTTAGCTGGGAAATGAAAAAGCCAGGACCAGTTGGTGAAAGGGCACCTAGACTGGCTGCCTGAGGTATTGGCAGTGTACTCATGTCAGTGTACTCATGGTCACATGTTAAATGTGACAGAGAAACAGCTGTTAGCCACTCTGGCTTCTGGTGGATTTCTGGGTTCTGAAGAATTGTTTTTCGTTTGATGAGTTTGTCTTATTCTGTTAAGCAGCCAGTGACATAGAGCAATGGTTAGCTTATTTTAAGGTCAGTGGAAAACATGCTGCTTGTCATTCATGTCTGGTATTAACAGTTGGGAAATTAAATTTGGTGTCTGGGAGTTGTGTTAGTATGTGTGCTTAGTTTGCAGGAGATGGGCTCTGCTGTGGTCCCAGTAGCTATGGGCAAATGATAAATGGAAGCCTTTTAGCTGTCTCCTGAGTGTGTTTAACAACATCCAGTCTGTTTCACAGAGATGCTGTTTCTTTTACCCAGTTTTTTTTTTTTTTTTTAAGACAGGTTCTCACTATGTAGTTCAGGCTGGCCTTGAACTCACTATGTGGCCCAGGCTGGGCTTGAACTTGAGGCGATCCACCTGCCTCAGCCTCTGGAGTGCTGGTATTACAGGCATGTGCTACCACGCCTGGCTTTACCCAGTATTGTTGAAGAATCTGGAGTCGTTCCAACAAGATGGCATGACATTGCTCTGGAACACGATTAGTCTCAGGACCTCTCGGACTTCAGTCTTAGCCTTTCTTTAAACATACCAGGAGTGTATCATCTTCACTGTTTAATGCTTCTCTCTGACTCCTCTTCCTTCCACCCAGTGTTCCATCTCCCCCCTTTCCAGAGAAGCCTCTGAAGAGGAATGGTCCTTACAGGACCACTTTATGTTACACTGTAACATAAACCAGGGATGGCAGACCTAGAGGTTGTGTCTGTCAGTACTGAAATGCCACATAATTCCATACCACGTGAAAGGGTTTTAAGCATTTCTTTTATTCTGACATTCCAATTAAAATAAAAAGAAACGGGGGCTGGGGATTTAGCTCAGTGGTTCCACCACCTGCCTTGAAAGCTCAAGAACCCGAGTTTGATTCCCCGTAGCAAAAAAAAAATGGAGGAAAGATAGAGTTTTTAAGCAAATGGAATATTTGTGTAAGTTTTATTTTATAAATTTGGAAATCCTTAAATTATCTTCCCCAGGTAGAAATCACATAAATCTGACTAGAGATTTGTAGCACTTCTGTGTATAATAACACACATAAGTGTACTTCTGGGGACCCCACAACATAGTCTATGAAGCATTGTCATTTAGCAGTTGGATTTTGGCACCTTTGGTTACAAGTACTGTTTTTAAAACATTTCCCAGTATTTACACTGAATTTTGATGTTGCAGTAAGATTTCATGTTGAGCTTAAGCATTAACTTAATAATTTTGGCATTGCTCATGACTTATTTTCTTATGTATCTGATTAGTTTAAGTCCCAAATTATTAAATTTTAATACATACTTTTAATTTTGGTGTTTTAAGATGGCCAACCAAGATACATCATGTAAAGGTACAAGTTCCCAATGAGAAATGTAAATGTATTGTATACCTAAAATGTACCAATAAAAGAATTTAAGGGGAAAAAAAAAAAGATGGCCAGATAGTTAAAAAACCAGAAAGACAATTATTTTTAGTCTTGGAACAATGATGAATTTATTTTTCAAAAAGAGAAGGGGCATATTGGAAGGTACTATGGTTTTGTCATGACTTTGAGAGTGGAACAATACATTGAGTAATTGTAAGTGGGAATACAGCCAAAGATGAATTGTAGAAATTACAGACATGTAATTATGCCAGGCTGTGTTGTTCTTTTTTCTCTTTATGACAGTGCTAATGTTGCCTAAACTGAATGTTCAGCAACAAAGTTTCAACTTCATGATTCCTGTTGTAGTTTCTCTTTTGAGCATTTAAAATTTGAGTTAGTATAAGTTCTGCCCTAGGAATTGTATCAGATTAAGAAGCAGGAAGAAAAAATGATTGTGTTCTTGCTTTGTGCTCTGATGGAAAAATGCTGAGATAGGAATTCCCTTGATGAAAAATAAGTTAAAATATTTAAAACTTCAAAAAAAATTCAACTTGTTCTTTTTACCGAAGTTAATGACTAAAATACATGTTATGTATCCATGGCATGTGAAATTGGTTTGTTTTTTCAACTTGGCATTTGTCTTGAATCTCGGTTGTGTTGGGGTCAAATGAATTAGGTCAGAACCCAACTCTGCCATTTGTTTGCAGTGTGATGTTGTACATATCACTTAACTTCTTTGACTCCATTTCCTCTTATTTACAATGAGGACAGTAATAAGGCGAGCGTGGTGGGACATGCCTGTAAGCCCAGCACTCGGGAGGCTGAGGCAGGAGGACTGGTGAGACTTCGAGGTCAGCCTGGGCTACATAGTTCAGAGCCAGCCTGAACTGAAAAGGGAGACCCTTTCTCAAACAGCAACAACAACAACAACAACAAATGAGGACAGTAATATCTACCTAGCAGTGTAGAAGGTTAAAAAATATAATGTATGGGGCTGGGGATTTAGCTCAGTAGCACTGCACCTGCCTGGCAAGTGCAAGGTCCTGAGTTCGATTTCCTGTACCTCCCCTGACAAAAGATGTATGTAAAGCACCTGGTGTGGTGGCTGGTGTGTTGGTGTGAGGCATACTTTAAGTGGTAGCTACTAAGTGTGCTGTTTTCTCACTCTTTAGCCTATGTGAGGTGGTTTCTGCCCCTCTCACACTAGTGAAAGGGATTTCATTTACTGTTGATGTTTTGATTGGAGAATTCTGTGGGTGCTTTTCAGTCTTTTCTCTCATTTGATAGGGTTGACTCTTCACTCAGACTCATCTTTGTTAGGCAGCTGTAGAGCATCGTGGTTAGTGCACAGGGTCTGGAGGCCACCTTGTTTTGAATCTAGGTGCACTTAACACTTATTTTCTTGGGCAAATACGTTGGCTTACTTATGTCTTAATTTCCCCACCTAAAAAATGGAAATGTAAGGATTATATATTACAGTGTATATGTGCGAAACTCTTAGAACAGTGCCACTCTTATAAAAAATAGGCAGCAATGCTGGAGGTCATTGCTGAGGCCCTCACGTGTGGGGCACTGTTTGTGGGAGGAGCACAGAAGGGGGGGCGCATCCTGGAGCTGAGCACACTGGAGTGGTACTCAGGGTGGAGCCTGTGTCGGGGCATGCAGGGAGAGTGCTTCCAGGAGTCATCCAAGAGCGGAAACCACAGGACTTGGTAACTGGTAAGGTCACTAGCAGACGGCTGTGCCTTTCAGCAGGAAGAGGACCATGAAGGGTAATGCTTTCAATCGACTCAGGACATTGAGGCAGCTGTGGCTGTGTTAACTAAAGACACTCTTGAAAGAGGACTCCAGAGCTGCTTCAGAAAGTGGTGAGAATGTTGGGATAAGTGTTTGAAGGTGGGGGGTCGTAAATTGAGGGCAATTCATGACAGTATGCCTCTTAGTGTAATTTTGAAACTCACCATATCTTTGATCACATCCCTTCATAACCTTGGCATGAAGCCATGAGCGAATGTGTCCCCCTTGAATAGAGACCCCAGCCAGAGCTGGGGGGAACACTGGCCACTGCAGGAGCATGGGAGGAAGGGTGGCCCAGTGACTGTAAGGAAACCAGGAGAGTGGCGTCCTGGAAGCTGGGAGAGGGTGTGCCAAGGAGTGTTAAGGACCGGACTCAGGCTTCAGATGCAGCATCTCAGAGGTCACTGGAGGCCTTAAAGTGTTCTTTGTCTTCCCTGGGTCTCATTTCTCTGAAGATCTGCTGTGTTGGTACTTGCTGTCTTGTTATGGAGGAAGAAGGATGGTTTCTCTTCCTAGCTGCTGTGCCTGGGTGGACCAGGGCTGCTTTGAACCAGCACGAGTTCTCACCTCTGCCAGGTCTTGGGTATTTGCAGTGATTACTGCTCTTTATTAACCTTGCTTTGCCACCCTTGCCTTAACAGCTTTCACATGTCTCAAACATTGCGGGCTATTTGAAAAGTACTACTGGATGCCTGGGGATGGAACCCAGGGCTTCATGTATGGGAAGCAAGTAATCTATCACTAACTAGGCTCCAGCCCTTCTTTACTTTGTATCAAAATGAAGCTTTCTTCCGGTGACATCCTGCTGTTTGGAGCAGAGGAGCAGTGTGTGTCCTGGAGCAGGCCTGCCCTCCCTGCGCCCCCTCCCGGTCCGCCCGGGTCTCCCAGGTGTGACTGTAGGAGAGCTGTGGAGACCTCCTGTTTAGCCCAAGGTAGAGTCTACTTTAGGATGGATGCTGGTCTTGTTGTTCTGTGAACTTTGTTCTGGGTCACAGGCAGTGTTTGGTGCACCTTCAATGCAAATAAGTTAGGTAAAATATGAAGCTATTTAGGGAATACTGTCTGGGAGTAGAGAATCCTTCAGCCCAAAGATTCTAGTGTAAAACTGGAATAAAACTAGTTCAGAATTTAGGGAAGTATCATGTGGTGTACTTTAAAGTACATGTGCTTGGTGAGAGGGAGGGGTCTGGAAAGGCTGGGTGCGCCTCTGCGATGAATGTTAATTTACTTCCCCTGATCCCATGGGAGACCTTCCCCTCTTCAGAGTTCTTTTCTGCTCTGTGTGACTTTGTATTTCCTTGCTTGCCACCGAGCCAGCATCCCACACCCCCTGCTCCCTTTCAGCTGAGTTAGTGGTGTGTAGCTCTGGTCAGTTTCCCCATCCTTGTGCTTTATTTCCTAGCCATTTGATTTCTCCCTGGCCAGAGCTCAGTCTCAAAGGCCATTGGTGATCTCGCCAGGCCAGGTGGAGGTGGTGCCGAGCTCATCCCCTGGCGAACCTAGTGAAGAGCAGAGAGGTCTAGGCTCTGGCTGCCACTTTCCCTTAGAAGCTCTCCTGTGCTGTCCTGGGTACCTCTGGGCTCTGTCCCCTCACCCTTGGCCTCTGCTGGGGCAGCCTATTCGTGTCTGCGGGACACTTTGCAGATCCTCAGCTGGGGCAGCCTCCACTCAGTGTTCTCTTCCATCTCTCCCCTGGCTTCGCACAGATAGGAGCCCATTAAGTGCCGGTCACTGCCAGTGAAGGGTGACCTTTCCTAGCACCAGGACAGGCTGGAGGACCGTTCTGCTTTCTGTCTTCTTTTTTCTAGGTTGATTGAAGAAATCGTTCTTTTAACTTGTGTTTTTTCCTATTTATTGCCATAATATAGTAAAATTTAAGGAGGCCTTACTTTGATTCCTAAATCAGCAGGAACAATTGACAATTATAGTTATAAATTTTGTTGTTGAAAATTATTAGAGACAGAGCTGGAGGTATAGCTCAGGTGGAGCGTGAGCACCTGGTTTTGACCCCCAGCACTGCCAAAGAAAAAATGTTTTTAGATGTGTATTTTTTTGTTTGTTTGTTTTTGGTACTGGGGATCGAACTCAGGTCCTTGCACTTTCGAGGCAGGCAGCGGAACCACTGAGCTAAATCCCTTGCCCTAGACCTGTATTTATGATAAAACATTTTAAAAAGAAGGAAGATATGTGGAATCTTATCTGCTGGGGATAACTAGTAGTGTTAACATTTGAGAGCATGTTCTTTTGTTTCTCATGTAACCAACTCAGACTTAAAAACTTGAAAAGGTCCCATTCTGTATAAATTCAGAGCCATACTTTCCTCTTTGTCTTTGTTTTCTAAACAATACAGTGTAACAACTATTTCCATGGCATTTACATTGTTTTAGGTATAGTAAGTTATATGGAGATGATTTAAAGTATATGGGAGGATGAGCGTAGATTGTAAACACCATGTCATCTTATAGAAGGGACTTGGGTGTCCACAGGTTTTAGTATTCAAAGGGGGGAGGGGTCCCGAAACTGATCCCCTGGAAATACCAAGGGAGGAGGGACAACTGTGTGCTAGTGCAGATCCTGTATTTAATGGCTAGATTGTTTTCTTCCTGATTAGGTAGCATATTTATTTACCCAGTCCCCTGCTATTTTGTTGGATGTGTAGTTTTCCATTTTTTACTATTTTAAACACTCCCAAGGTAAGTATTTTAGTCCTTAAGTCTTTGTTTTGAGCAGCGGGTGTTTCCTGTGGTTAAGCTCTCCCAGGCAGAATGGCAGAGCTTTTAGTGTGCCGGGCTGAACTCTATTGATATGTTTGGCCAAGTTGGTCTCCAGGAGCTTTGTAACAGAACCCTCCCGTCTCCATTGTAACTTGTGGGCTGGGCTGCCGAGGTCTGTCTTCAGGGAAGTCACTACAGCCTTGCCTTTTGCTACTCCAGCCACCAGTCTGCAGCTGAACGTCATCATTGAGCTGCCTCAGGGCTCTGGTTACTGTGTTGTGGGCTTTACTCACAAGATTTTGTGTGCAGGGGCCATTGCCTTTCGCCGGGGTTTGTGTCCTTTCAATCCCCGGACTTTTCAGAGTTGTCTCCCAGCCCTGGTCACTTCATTCTGTATCCTGGTAAGTAGCAGGACTCTTGGCTTAATTGGAGTTGCAATGAATTTTGGGGAAAAAGGTCAGATGAGTGCTTTCCTTTTTTCTTTTCTTTTCCCCAAGCCGACCATAGCTTATTCTTTAATTGAAAGTAACATTTACCATTGCAAAGACTACAGAAACTTTTTTGTAACTCTTTACAGGGGAACTAAATTCATTTATCCTTGATGAATTTTTGGTTGGAAAATGATTGTGAATAGTAGAAAGTAATTTTTAGTTGGTGAAATACTTTGACTTAATTTGTTTTATTTGAAAATGCTTTTGGTCTTTTAATGACTATAGTTACCCTAGTCTGGAAGTTTTCCTACACTGAATTGGCTTGCCATGACAATATTTGCTAGTTCGGGCATTTATTCTGAGGTGTTAAGATTTTAGTGACTGGTAGTTCTCCCAGAAGTGATTTTTTTCCTGAGACAGGGTCTTAGTGTGTTGCCCAGACTGGTCTCATGCTCCAGGACTCAAGTGAGCCTCGAGCCTCAGTCTCTGGCATAGCAGATGCCAGGCATGTACCATTGTGCCCCACTTAGACGTGATCATGTTTTAAGCCTGGACTTATTTGATTCACTCACTGAATGAACTTGTACTTTTAAACCTTTACATGATGATGATGATGCTAGGAATGGAACTCAGGGCCTTGCCCACGCTAGGCAAGCACACTAGCCCTGAGGTGTAGCCCCAGCTGTCATCACTGTCTTTTAAATTAAAATTTTAACCAGTATATAAAAATCATACGTATTAGTGGGGTAACGTGATGTTTCAATGCATGTATACATCGTGTAATGCTTAAATCAGGCCAAACATCTATCTCCTTAAACATCACTTCTCTATGTTAAAAACTTTCAAAATCATTTCTTTTGGTTTTTGAAGTGCACAGTACATCATCGGTATTTGTAGTCAACCTGTTTTTTTGGTTTTTTTTTGGTACCAGGGATCGAACTCGGGTCCTTGTGCTTGCGAGGCAGGCGGCGGAACCACTGAGCTAAATCCCCAGGCCCTGTAGTCGACCTTTTTTACAGTAACTCACCTGAACTGCTTGGTCCTGTCTAACTATAACTTGGCACCCGTCCATCGGTCTTTCCTCTTCCCTCTCCTCTTCTCCACCTATTTTCTGTCTACACACTGACATGCAGAGACAAGAGGACCCTTCAGAGGCGGACAGTGAGGCCAGGAAGATAGCTGTAATGAGGGGGTCCAGTCATGTGTTAGGAGGTTGTATAGGAACTCGAGTGCATAAAGTGAAAGTGGTCCCTGCTCCTGTAGGGGTTGTAGGAGGGGCCTGAAGAGTTTCATAGAGGAAGTAGCCCTGGAGATGAGTCTTGAAGATGGGTGTGAAACAGTGGGATGTGGTTCATGGAGGTCTGAGGACTGGTGGAAAGAAAAACTTGAAGCTGCCAGGCATGGTAGCACAGCCTGTAATCCCAGGACCCTGGGAGTCTGAGGCAGAAGGATTGCAAATTCAAGTCCCGGCTGGCAACACAGTGATTTAACAAGGCCCTGTTTCAAAAAAAAAAAAGGGAGCGGGGGAGGGGGCCTGGGTTCAATCTCCAGTACCAATAAGTAAGTAGGCTACAACTTTGTCTAATATGTTCTAGGAATTGCAAACAGACAGAGTAAGGGACATTGAGAAGTAGGCAAGACCTGGCTCATGGTGGACTGGCTTTCTGAGGAGGTTGGCCTTTGTTGGTCATTTGGAGCTCTGAAAGACTGAGGCAGTAGCATGGCTAGATTCCTTGGAAAAATTACTTTGAGAGCAGTGTTGAGGTTGGGCTGTCTGACGGGTAGGAGGGGAACCAGTTGAGACTGTTGCAGTAGTCATGAAAAGATTATGAATTGCAGAAGGAAATGGAAAGTAAGAGGCAGAAATAAGAGATGTAATTTCAAAGAAATGGAGTCTTCAGCACTAAGTAATTGCTTGGGAGTGGG